TTTTTTTTTGTGCCGAAAAGCCGTCGTCCGGAAATCTGGACGACGGGGGTACTGGACGTCCGGGGGAGACGTCCGGTCTCCGGACCATTGGTAACCTAGGGAAAAAATTATAAGATAATAGAAGACATTATTTTGAACAACTTTTGCCTCAGACGGAAAGTGAGATTACAAATTCTTCTCTATACTACTAAAGGTCGTAAAGGTCTCGCCGACATGTTCGGTCGCGGGCCCAAACGAAACCCGTGGAGGGGTGGAACTGGGTAGGGGAACCGGTGTAGGGGCGAGGCCCAGGCCGAGGCGGGCCAGGACTGACACGGAGGGACGCAGGCGGCGCGGGAGGGACAGGACCGCAAGCGGCGTGGACAGGACTGACGCCGACGGACGCGGGCGCAAAAAAGACACGGTAGCGGGGCTGGACGTCAGAAACTGCATTGCCTGAAAAGTCCTCAGCGCCTAAGTCACGCGGGGAGATGAAATGATGCGGGGCCGCGTTCGAAAACGCCAGCGAGGGGTGTGTGCAGGTAAGTAGTGTATATTTCGATGTTCTAGCGGAGGATTCATTCGATTTTTCTCAGTGTGTGTGTGTGTGTGTGTGTGTGTGTGTGTGTGTGTGTGTGTGTGTGTGTGTGTGCAATGACTTGCTGTTTTCTGGTCGCCTGTAGCCTCTCTCTGTCGAGGCTGTACTATAGGTAGGATAGATTCACAATTTTGTTTGGCTGAGGGCTGACCAAGAGACCTACCTGTGAGGGAACTTCGCGAGGGGCATATCTGCAAATTCGGGAAAATACAGGCCCGGTACTAACAGGACTCCCTACAGCTACCCTAACAGCGAATAGCAGGCCCGGGCTACCCCTAGGACAGACAAGCCCAAAGGGCCTATTCTGATAGACGGTCCTATATATAGCCGGGTCCGGTAGAGGCCGAGAGGCTGAAACAGAAACGGTACCGGTCGGTCAGTCAGTCCGGTCTAGGTCACATCTAGGCTAGGTTAGTCTATAGATAGGATGGGCACATCAGTTCAGGGCTTTTTGCAGTTGGTACCGAGTACATCGCTGCTGCGCTACGCATGAACCGGAAGTGGTGACGGCTCAGCGTGGAAGGAGACAGGCATAGCCAGACCTTCGGAGCGCCGGCCATAGCTGGGACCTGAGCTGTACTCTGCCGGCACGCAGGGGCTGACAGAGGTCTGGGCTATCGAGGTCTGCTGGAGGCGAGAGAGGTTGGTGCCCTGCTGGACCCTCCTCCGGAGTGGGGTTGCAGGGTGGTGACGCTGCAGCCATAGCTGCAGCTTCTTCCTCAGAGGTCATCTTGTCAGGGTTTGGCGGCGCTGCTGCAGACTTCCACCCGGGAAGTCTTCCGACACTTCGTCATCATCAGATACTGTGGCGCTGGTCTTCTTCTTCATCCTCCGAGTGGCGCTTGGCCTCAGAGGCCTGTTTCAGGGTGGCGCTTCCCTCAGGAGGCTGTATTTGGGTGGCGCTTGATGTTTCAGGGACTCAGGGGTGTTACCGGTGCTAATCAGGGTTGGGGAGTGAAGCGCTGCTCATTTCTGAGCAGCACACTGTAGTTCTGAAGTTATCCTGACAATTCGAGACTCTGAGTTTAATACACAGTTTGTAACTGGGTTTGGACTATCATCGTTTCATTGTTTCTTGGATGTGATCTGCTCGGCTTTTCTTTATGACTGGTTGTGAGGATTGAGTGCAGTGAATTGCACTTTCAGTGTACCCTGTCATATCGCATGGTCAAGTCTTCCGCTGTGTTATCTTGCCCTGTGCAGTGTGATACTCCTATCCTCTCCCCTTCCTTCTGTGTATGTATGGGCATACCTGGAAGTCTCTGTGGGTGGGTGTTGGCCTTCAGGCAACAAATAACCAAAATCTGGCACCACATCAATGCCAGGTCACCTCATACAAAGAAAGGAAAAAAAAAAAAAAAAAGAGGTCATCCGCATTTGCGCTGAATGTCGCGGGATTTGGAGAAGGAGACTATATGCGGATTCTGCGAGAACATCGAAATATGCACTACTACACGCCCACGCGCGAGCATGTGTGTGTGTGTGTGTGTGTGTGTGTGTGTGTGTGTGTGTGAGAGAGAGAGAGAGAGAGAGAGAGAGAGAGAATTTTCCATCGATGGGATGAGGAA